TCTTATCGTCCCCTTTCCGAATGCTTGCATTGGCAGGTCCCTATTGTTGCCTCAACTGGTGGGTTAGTTGATACAGTCAAGGAAGGCTTCACTGGATTCCAGATGGGAGCTTTCAATGTTGAAGTGAGTTGTTTAATTCACTTTTTTTATGTTGAGATGAACTTTTTCTGTGTCTCCTATGAAACTACTATTTGCTGATGAAATTCACCTACTCCCTCCGTCCTGTAATAATCTATTTGTTAAGTTGTTACCTACTTTGGTAAAACTCCCTCCCCCCCCCCCCCCTCCTATGTGATGTGAATTCTAGCTTTTATCTTTCCTAAACACCAACCCTCTTTTTCTCTCAATTATATTCCTAAGCTTTCTCTTGCACTTGCTAATTTACCACTCCATCCACATTTTTTTTAATATAACCACTTTTTGCAATATCCCTACAGTTTTTTTTTAATGTGTTTGATTATAGGATGGAATGTAAGAATATCAGAGAAGTAAAATGCTGATTCTGTTCAAAATATTACATGCTTGATTAGCTTTGTATGACTGAATATGAATACTAAAGCTTGCCTCTATTATCTTCAGTGCGAAACCATTGACTCAAGTGATGTAGCCGCTCTAGCCACAACTGTCAAGAGAGCTCTGAAAACCTACCGTACCCCTGCAATGAAAGAGATGATCCAGAACTGCATGGCTCAAGATGTTTCTTGGAAGGTCTGTTACTTCTTCCTTTTACTTAAGACTTTGGCTTTCGATTTTTCATTTTGAAATGGCATTCTATGGTATTTCAATTATAGAAAAATTTGTTAGTTGGTCATAAATTAATGGTGTGAGTTGCAAAATACAGGAGCCTGCTAAGCTGTGGGAAAAGCTGCTGTTGAGTTTAGATATTCCTGGAAGCGAACCTGGTATTGATGCAGAGGAAGTTGCTACTTCTGCCGAAGAGAAGAAGGCTGCTGCTGTATGAACCTTTTGAATGCTGTGGGAACTACTAACAATACATTTATATATTATGCAAGCTGACATCCACGGGAACAGTTTCAGTGTTCCATCCTTATGTCCGGAATGAAGTCACATGTTATGTGGCTGAACGCTAATATAGTAATATGTATAGTATGTTCGAGCATTTGCATTTTAAAGAATGCGCAGTTCAATGCTAAGATGTATTTTATGTTCGAGCATCCGTATATGTAAGAAATGTGTGGTTATGCACCATGAAATCAATATAGGTGCAATGACACTTTCTTCCTAAAGCAATAAGTTGTATGAGGTTCTAAACCAGTAATAGAAACTGTTTAAGAGCTTCTTGTAATGCATTAGACCTCATTTCCACACCGAGGCTGTTGGTTCAGAATGCAATGACAGGCCAACCTTGGACCCATGGCACATAGAGACCCGTGGGCTGTTTCAGGACTGCACCAAGATCCCGGTGGGTCAAGGTTTGGCTAATAGCCCCATCTCTAAAAATCAGCTATTGAATTAAAACTTCTTTTAAATGTTATGTGCAACTTTAAAATATTTTATATCTCACAAATAATACCCAAAGTTGCATAATGTAGGTAGTAAATTGTTTGCATAAACACAGCAACATGACAATTGACAAACACACATGCATGATGCATCACAAGACTCATAACAGAGCTCTTGTCTCCTCAGATGATTTTAATCAAACAGGTTACAAATGTGGTCACCAAATATCAAGTGTTAGATTCTCTTGAAATTGAGTCATCGTTAGTCTAATTATTGCTGAAATTTCATTTAATTTCAAAGGCCTTTATCCATTTAACAACCGTCCCAACTCACAAATCATCAATAATCTCCTAATCTGCTAATCAAGTGATCATCTCTTTGATGAAGGCAAAAGTCAATAGCCCTTTTTGTTCCTATAAGTGTTTGTGCACAAGTTTAACCTTATAATGTATTGACAAAATAATGAAAAATTTATAGAATAATATTTGAAAATATACATTGATATTAATCCAACACTTGATATTTATAAACTAATATCAAATCAAAACTAAAATATTTTGGGTATAAATGTACAGTACAAGTACTACCTCCGTTAAATGTTAGGTATAAATTTGAGGTATTATTTGTGATATATGACGTATAAAATATTCCAAAATTGTACATAATATTTAACGGAAGAAAGAAAAAAAAAAAAGCGTGAATCATTATTATTTTATCCGGTTGAAGATAATAACAGGAGTGAAAGAACAAATGAACAAGGTCGGCTTTGAATATTTGAAAAGAAAGGTGGGCAAAGGGGAAAAGCTTACTTTGCAGGCACTTCACGTCTCTACTTGTAGTTTTTTTTTTTTTTTTTTTTTTTTTTTTTTTCTTTTTTTAAAAAAATGCTTAAATTATGTTAACGTTGTTGTTACAATCAAACAACAGAATACGCCATAAAATAAGATATGTAGTTAATCAAAGAGTACTACACTGTTGGTAAAGTGATAATAATAACTCGAAACGGGTGTAGTACATGTGAAAGCTGTCGGACCAAACCAAATATTTTTCACACTTGTTTGGTGCTCATAACAAGTTCAACTTCAAGTTCATCTTCTCAATTCAAGTCTAACTACTAGCTTTCCTAACATGGGTACGAGTGGGGCCCTTTTACCCATCACTAGAAACTAGAAACCATCATATTCTTATTCGTAGAATTTCGAGACTTGTCTTTCATCAAACCTATGTTTCATGCACTAAAAATCATGTCTAACCGTCAGATCTAAGTTGATAATCAACTCTTGATACTAGTTTTTTTTTAATGTTATCATAACTGATAGAATAGTCTATTTTCAGCAACAAGGTTAGCGACTAACCCTAATTAATGATTGATGTATATTCTACGGAGTACAATATATGTCGTTAATGAATTGAATTAGAGGTCGATTTCAAATTACTCGTAAGAAAGTAGAGTGAGCTAGAGTGAATTTAAGTTAGTAGCTTATTGTTTATGTTAGGTGTTTGATTGTGATAGTTCTTCATTCGATTAAATTCAACAATCAAACCTATAATGAAAGAGTTTAAATTCGTACCACTCTAATAATCCTCTCTCCTTGAATAAAAGGTAGAGTCGTACATAACAAGGTTATGTTTAATTTATCTAACTTAAATTAGGGTTTGTTCACATTTATTGAACTGAGTTGAGTTGAACTAAACTAAATTTATTGGAGCTGAACTGAACTAAGTTAAAATGAATATTTTATGAGAAAGGGAAATTAGGAGCTAAACTGAAGTGATTGGAGCTGAACTGAACTGATTGGAGCTGAACTAAACTGAACTGAAATTAATTAAATGTGAACAAGCTCTTAGTCTCGTTTTCATAAGTTTCAATGCAGGATAATATTTTAATTCACATGTGAGTTATTCTCTTAATAAATTTTTATAGTGTACTTCCTCCGTTCTGTTAATATTGTAACAAGGAGGAAATTACGCATCACAAAACACATTTTATATGCTAAATATCTATAATTGTGTAAGAGTAAAAATTATAAAAAGTTGATATTGTGAAAGTATTAAATGAGACGAATCCAACAAAGATCCCACTTGACTATATTTTGCTTAACGTATAACTCATATTATATGGTCAAACAAGAGTGATGAATAGTGCAAAAAGTCCATTGTTGCAATATTAATAGAACGGAAAAAGTATTACACTACTTAAAAGTTAGGGGGCCGAGGTTGAAAAGAAAGTTACTAGTAATGAAAAAAAAAAAAAAAAAAAGTATTGACAAACTCGCCAGCAAAAAATCATATGGGGGGTCATAAGCATAGGTGCTTTCAGATAGGAGTGGTGGAATCCAGAAAAGATGATAAAGTAGAAAAAGAAAAGAAAATAAGGAACCTTTTAAATGAGTGTTTACTGTAATTGATATTTGTTAGGCATAACTTTATCGTAAAGCTAAGTTAGTTTTATACAAGTCTTATGAAAAAATCTCGTCATTAAAAACTGAGACATCTGTTTTATATTTTAGTTATTCTGTATTCACATTTCTTAAATTTTAGCTATGATGATGACACCCCGTATAACAAATAATGCTAGTGAAAATGAGTTAGATACGATGTTATAAGGAAACTACTATCTTTTTATAGTTTGGAGACATGAACAAACTATCCGACTATCATACTCAAATAAGCACTTTGAAATGAACTGGCATTACATATTGTTTGCTCATTTTGAAAATTATTTTTCATTTATCATCCAATGAGCAAATATATACCTTAGATATATTATGTTTCTGAGTGTATATAACAATCTCTAATAAATTAAAGGTTGATGAAAAATAATAAGGCTTTTTCTTGAAAATTCATTCTCATCTCTGTCAATCTGTCATTTATTAATCTCTAAATAAAAATCACATTTCATCCATAAATCTTGTTTAATATCACTCACTTTTAATCAGTCAGATTTTTCCTTTTTTCCCCCTTTCATTCCAAATTAAGTTTACGTAATTCAGTATGGAGTACAAGATATTGAACACGTGACCTAAAAATTAAAAAAAAATGATTAACCATCCTTCCAAGATAATAATAAAGTCTTATAATAGTATTTTTACTTGTTTGGACAAAAATAACAAAAAAATTTGTATGCATTTTTGTATTCCTCTATTTCTCTAAATTGTATAGCATGAAATTTAAGATGAGGAGAGATAAAAAGACATGAAAATTGGCTATAGAGTATAAATCATAATTCTAACCTCAACCATTAACTTAAATAGACTTTATAACTCTAACAATTGGAACTTATGTAATATTGAATTCATGTAATGAGAAAAGAGATGAAGTAAAAGCATGTACGAAGTAGTGATTAGTGAAGTGCTAGTACACACATATGATGATATTGCAAATTTCTATAATAATAATTGTTGCAATTAGAGAACGGAGAAAGTATTATCTATCAAATGGACCCAAACAAAAGATACGTTAACCACTTTTAAGGTTGAGCGAATAATCTGCAGTTCTCCATGCCAAACCAACTAACTATGATAACATTATTAATTATTGGAGTGGTTTATTATAGATATATAAATATTGCTAGTCCTATTATTAATAACAAAAAGAGAAAGAATCAAGCAAGCAATACTAGTTGCTGCCTTGCTCGGTGCTGTCAGTCTATACACACTACTAAAGCACCTCCTCTGTCTTTGCTTCAAAAAAAAAAAAAAAAAAAGCACCTCCTCTGTCTCTCTCCCCTTCTCACTTCTCTTTTCTCTCTCTTACCAAAAAAAAAAAAAGGAATCATACCCATTTCATAAAAATCAAAAATTTTAAACTTATTTCTCATTAATTGAGTAGATCTTTCAAATTCATCAGTCTAATGGAGTCACCAAGCAGAGATAGAATCACAAGAACAAGAACAACCAAATACCCACATTCATCATTCTTCTTATTATCATTCATTCTTCTTCTTTCAGGTAATTACTCTTATTTTCATCTACCATTTTCCATGTTTCAAATTATTTGTAACGATTTGATTTGACATAAAGTGTGAATAAAAATTGTCTAATCGTTGCAAGTTACCGTTGAAAATAGTAACTATAATTTACGAAAATTCATCAGGTACAATCCCAGTGACAGTGGTATCACTAGGAATAAATTACGGGCAAATTGCCAACAATCTTCCAACACCAGACAAAGTAGTACCGCTAGTCAAAGCAATCGGAGCAACCAAGGTAAAGCTCTACGACGCCGACCCGAAAGTCCTCAAAGCATTCGCTAAAACCGGCATCGAATTTACTGTCACAATAGGAAATGACCAACTACCACAATTGGCAAAAAACCCAAAACAAGCTATTGATTGGGTTAAAAAGAATGTCCAAACTTATCTACCTGATACAAACATTACATGTATTTTAATTGGAAATGAAGTTCTTACCTTCAATGATACAACCTTAACTAGTAGCCTTTACCCTGCTATGCAAAACATGCATTCCGCGCTCCAAACATTGAGTTTGGATCGGAATGTTTGGGTGACCACAGCTCATAACCTGGCCATCCTGGATACGTCGTATCCGCCGTCAGCAGGATCGTTTAGGTCGGACTTAGGAAGTTGCATTTCGCAGATCTTAAGTTTCCACGCGAAGACAGGCTCCCCGTTTTTAATAAACGCGTACCCGTACTTCGCGTACAAGGGTAATCCAGAGGAAGTGAACTTGGACTATGTTCTGTTCCAGGCTAAAACTGCACAAGTTTTAGTCGACCCTGATTCGAGCCTTCATTATGATAACATGTTATACGCACAAGTTGATGCGGTGTACTCCGCAATGGGACCCAACTTCAACAAGAAGGTATTGGTTCAGGTATCTGAAACTGGTTGGCCGTCAAAGGGTGACGAAGATGAGGTCGGGGCAACACCGGAGAATGCGAAGAAATACAATGGAAATTTGATAAAGATGTTGGCAACTGAAAAGAAAGGGACTCCAATGAAGCCTGATTGTGATTTGAATGTGTTTGTGTTTGCGTTGTTTAATGAGAATTTGAAACCAGGACCAACTTCTGAGAGGAATTATGGGTTGTTTAAGCCTGATGGTACACCTGCTTATTCTTTAGGGATTCCTTCAATTCAAGCTGTTAGCAATGGGACTTCTGGGGATGATGGTGTTGATAGTCCGTCTTCTGCTGAGACTGCCGCTGGTGGTGGTGCTAGTGGTAGCGTTGGTGGTGGAGGTGGCTCCTCTTCTTCTGGGTATCTCTCCATTTCTTTTTCAACAGTAAGTTTTCTTTATTTTAATCTTCAACTTTTTTTAAAAAAAAATTAATGGTATTTTTTTTATTATAAAAATATAGGGTTTTGTATGACTGGTTTATGTTAGCCAATCTCAAATCATATTGGGACTAATGCTACTAAACTTTGCTTAGTGGAGTTAGTGGGGCTCGAATTTTGTAACCTCAACTCCAAAATGCTTGACCTACGGAGTTTAAATTGGCTAAATTTATAAGAGGTGTTGGTTCAGTAGGTCTTTCGTCTTAAAATTGGGACTATTGCTTTGATGTTGTAGGACTTGTAGTATTATAAAAATATATTTTGATTAAATTATTGGTATGTTTGATTCTTGCTGATTAAAGTGTGCCACCCAACTGTAAGAAATGTAAAAAGCATAAGATTCGTGTTTGTGACAGATTGGTGTAGATTCGCTACTTCAGCTTTTTTATTTTATTCCTATATACGTATTTGTGTTTTAGTTATTTGTAGTAGTATTTGAATTATTGATTCATTAAACCAGCTATATTTGATTTGATTTTTCTCAAGTAAATGATTGTTAGTACTTTAGAGGTATACTGTTTAGATGTGGAAATTAAAGGTGTGTAAATTTGGTAGCGTAACATTGGACATAGTTGCTGTTACTGTAATCACTGCGTACTTCTTTGATAGTGTAATCTGAACTAGTTACGGAGGATAGATATGTATAGAAAACATCGTACATTATAATGTGATAAGATTAATTCTATTGTTCAAGGTATAACTCAATTTTAAAAACTAATAGTTTTTCTGTGTGAATTTGCAGGAAAGATATCCCTCAGTCGGCTTCACGGTCACTTCATTAGTTATGATTGTTATGCTAGTAGTTCTTTAGAGTAGATTGCATCCATTTATGATTATATTCTTGGTGCGGAGCGCATTGAAGATCTGGAAGAGACTTGAGAGTTAGGGAAAGGAGGAATGTAGTTTCTTTGATTGTAATCCTGTTAATATCATTATTACTATTATTATTTTTAATGACTCATTCTTGTTCTTTTTGACACTACAACCATTGGATATCTTTTACTTTTCTTTCGCCTTTTACTTCTTTCTTTGCTTCTAGTATCTCCTTTTTTTTTATGTGTAGATCTATGCACACCACCTCAAGGCAAGTCAAGCTAGCTTTAGAGATAGGACTGTTATTTTAATCACATAAATCGGTTTATCATGACTAAACAACAGGGTCAATTAGATACTAGTTTGATGAAGATATATATTTTTTTACTACCATGTTTCAGATTATTCACTGCTTATAGTTAATGGTGACTGATGAACAAGTCTAGAAAAAACACATTCATAATCTTGCAACCCCTAATTTGAATGAGAATATAAGCACATAATATGGAGTACACATCATTTGGTATTATAGTCGGGAAAGCCTTGAGAATTTTTATTAATAACTCGAAGTAGAATATAGTTACACGATGTAATCAAGTGCAAAAAATATTATGATTTATAACCCGAATGTTGAACTTGGGGTACCACCTGATGCATACGCAACATGGCAAAATATACAACAAAAGAAAATTTCATCATGAAGGACGAAGGACGTAGTAGTTACATATCAGGTCATTCTCCAAAAGGAAACTAAATAAAACCACCAGAGGTGGAAAGAGTGTTATGAATGCTTCCTAGTATAATAAATCAGCTACTGATAGCCAGACCTATACGTAAAGCCTAGGAAAAATAATTCCAATAATCTATGATCTAGCTGCTCACTTCAAAATTTTGTTGAACAAATGAGCAAATGTTGGTGGAACAAACGAAGGCCTACCTCCCAATCTGACTAACCAAAATTCCGTGCTAATCAACTCCATCTAAAGCCATCATCAGCCTGCATCCAAAAGCTAATCTTCCGAATATTGCACAAAAAACACATTTATAATGTAGTTTGCCTGTAATATCCAGGCTGAATGAGTATTTGCAATTGTAGACATGCACAATCAACACTGCCTTTAAGAATGATTAGGATCCCAAGATTATCCTCTGGCTTCAGATTTTGCTTCAACTTTCACTCTACGGTAAAATAAGACATATGCAGCTGAAGTCTTGATATCTGCTTCACTTACTGGAGAAACATGACTGTCGTCAAAGTGATACCATTTGTCTTCCTCAATCAACTGCACAATTAACAAATAAAGCTCAATAAGTTTCCAGTTGAATGCACTCTACAGCTTTTAAGATAGTTAATACCTTCACTAAAAGGGCTAGACTCAATAGGAGTAACTAACATGATACATCAGCTTTTTTTTCACAAAGTCTCACACCAGTACACCACAACCAATTAAGGAGACAGATGCTCGTTTGAAACTGACTCAACCAACTGTTTTGATAGGGCTAGTTGGTGGGCCTGGACTCTTCCATCAGGGGGGGGGGGAGCAGCGGTAATAGTGTCACATGGTCTAGTTAAAGTAGCTCACTCAAATTAGTAAAAGACAAAGAGGAATCATTACACGTGATTGTTAACCCAAAATGCATCGAGGATATCCATAAACTACTTAACAACGTAAACATGATGACTGTTCATTGAAAGAATATTTATGAATTACTTAGCAAAAATGGATGAGAAAATCTGCCATGAACAAGGTCAAACCTAAGTGCAAGTCTATAATTACAATAAAAATGAAAAATAAATACTAAGTAGATTTTCGTAAAAAAAATATGCATCTTATGAACATTAGTGCTCAGAATCACGCACCACCAAGAAACGCAGTTTCAGCCAAAGAAGCAAAGCTTTACGATAGAATTCTGACCTTAGCATATGCAGAGTAGTGTCCGCCACCAAGGCCACCATAATGATTACTGATGGCATACAACTCGTACATGTAGGGAACATTAGATGAATCCTTTTCCTTCACATATTTGTCCAATTCCAAGTTTTGGATGGGGAAGCTCACAAATGTATCTAGCTTGTTCTTAAAATATCTGCTATATGAGAACCGTTTCAGGTGAATGACGAGTATCTCTGGCAATTTCCAAAGATCTAACTTCTTGGAAGCCTGTCTATGTTCTTTGCAATTTGGGCAATACCTGTATTCAAACAGAGAAAATAATAAATTATGCACGCTGTTTTTGAACACGCTGAATATAACCAAGTAGGCTTTGAAATTTAAAAATAAAAAGTTGTCCTACCACATATCATCAGGTCCAAGAGGCTCCTCCTTCAAAAATGCATCCATGCATGAAAATAGAGAAACGGCTTCCTGACGAGTCTTCTTGGCAGTAAATCCGGACTTGCACACCTCAGGAAAATCCTCCAGATAGCTAATATCATAAAGTTCATGTACATTATCAGTCCAATGAAGAGTAACTCTCAAGAAAGAACTGCTTCTGACATAATCATCATCAATTTGTCTGCCAATTGAAGAAAGCCTGTCCTCAGTTACAGTGAGCTGGAAAGGCAAATCGCTGCTACACTTGCATTCTGCACTGTCATTTATGAACCCATTTTCTGTTTCATCATTGCCTCCTGACAGAGAGCCATTTTCCTTCTCACTGTGATTCTTACTCAATGGCACATGGGCCTTCCTCAAGGGGGAAAGGATACTTGTAATGGCGATCCAAACATCAGCAACAGTTTGTGGCTCTTCTTGCAAATAGGTTACAAGTGGCGATCCTAAAAGCTTCCTGTCATCAGGAGTTACTATGAGAAATGTAGCTTTATAATGTAATAGCACAGCAGTGAAATTTGAAAAGTAATTTTTTAAATGTAGCAAAATCCCTGAAGATCAATACATTCTTTGAGGAGGGTATGGGGAGGAGATTTCTGACACCTACTTTTAGTGGTGTTACTTACTTTTCAGTGGATTGATGAACTATCTCCAGTTTCTTTAACCCTAATTTCTTAGGAACTCGGTAAGCTACAATATGTTCATCATCCTTGATGGAAGACAACGACTCCATAGCAGATTCCATGTACCGATAAATTTTGTGATCATAAACCTGAAAGTAAAATATAACATTATATAGTGACAGCTGACAAATGTATACAATTATATGCAATACAGCCAAGAGTAGCCAGGGCACAATATAAAGCATATCCACCTCAGCAAGGAGGAGGCTCTCATCAGTCTTTAGACAGCAAGCAGTTCCGAGTGCCTGGATCAGATCTCTACAGCATCCATGTTTTGAAACCGTCACAGTATATGGCATTGGAAGCCCAACTCCATTAGTGTACAGCACAGTAACCGTCATTGTTCTATTGGTCATTGATGGCAGGGGCAAACTCAAGTACATAAATGGATCAAATGTAATTGAGATCTTGTTGCAAACTGGACAAACCAGTGTAGACTTGTACTGGCCCTGTGCATCGAATTGCCACCAAACATGGTTAGCAAACAGCCAAATATATCTCATATGAAATGAAAACTACTGAATTTGATGCATGGCCAATAAGTTCTGCTGTTCTGTTGCAACTTGCAAGTGATCTTTGTATTTTTGAACAACACAACCAGGTTTCAAATCTCTCTCTCTCGCTCTCTCTTTTATTTATTTATTTTTTTTTTTTTTTTTGACGAATGGAAGATTTTAGCCTTTAGCTCAATATGAGCTTTTCATTGGGGTCCATAATATTGCTAATATTCTGCAGCAGCATAATATAGCCAACAAATCAATAATAATCATTAATTAAGTAGAACAAAGCCACTTTTGTGATCCATTGCAAATACTAGCTTGCCCAAAATGGGATATCAGGTCAATTAAATTTCAATAATACAGAGAGCAGTGACATATGTTGGCATTTTACCCATCAAACAGAATGAGAGTTGTTTTAGGACCTCATGTGGCCAATCATCCAATTTAGCTCAACTACTGATCAAGTTTAAAGCATGTAGTGAGCATATATAAGCAGAGAAAAAGAAATGAAGTTGTGCAAGCCAAAGTAAGTAGCTAAAGATTATGCAATTTGATCACATATATTCACCCGTATAACATTTTTATTATTATTATTATTATTAATTGCAGACATTTTTAGGCATAACACGTATTAAAGCACTTCAAGGCCATTAATAGCAAGGACAAATAATGGAAAGTCTGAAAACAAGAGATACACTTTCTAAAGCCCTTACAGTAAAATTCACCTCGTCAGAAAGACAAAAAAGATAAAGAACAATTTAGCAGGCAATAATTAATCAATAGAAATAATAACCCTTAGTAGATCAACAAGAACAAGAACTCTACCAACCTGACAAGTATCAACAATAATCGAATCATTACGCGCCTTGTGACTTCTCCAACACTCTTCGGCATATTCCTCATCTGGCCGGCCATCTGAATCTTTCATCTCAATGTAAGGTTTTTGTTTAACACGATTCAAATCTTCATGCAATCCATCCAACAAGAAGGCAAGCAGTTCCTAAATGATATAAAATTTTATCATTAAGCAACTTATGATGGATGATTGTAGGAAACTAGAAACTTACACATGAGAGGAAAATATTTATTTGGACGTCAGAGTGGGAATATAGCATAAACAATTGTATGCCTCGCCCTCAACTAGGCAAAAACTAGAAGTTTGCGGAATTAAAACTGCCTAAAATCAATATAACAGAAACCACCGGATTTGGTGGTCAAAGCTCACTAGCTTTGGTAGTAAATTTGTCATATATCCAGCTCATAGTAACATAACTTTCACCAATTACCAAGTCATTGTTTTGGTAGCACAACCCACCAACAACTGATTCTGTTAAATTGCTCAAAATCCTAACCTTCACCACCACCTCACTCTCCAACACAACCACCAATTCCTCTTACGAAAAGAAGCTCAACCACCAGCACAATACAACCTAAACCTCTTCGCACATTATCACCCTCTCTTCCCTTTCGTTGCCCCATCACTGCCATGATCAACCCTTGCAGCATTCTCTCTTGTCCAACCCTCATCAACTCACCCCAAAAGAAAAACATTCCACCAGAATGCAATTTTGGAGATGGTGATTGGGCACGGTGGTGAGGTAACAGGGTTAGCATGAGTGTGGAAGGGGTATTTCATTTGGTAGAGGTGGCTACAGGGCAGCTTATTAGATTATAAAATGCAAATAATGAGC